CTGGATAATAGCCAACTCCATGTCTTAGGACAAAAAAAATAATTTGGTTAGAAATGGAACCTCCTGCTATTGCCAAAAGGTGAGGCTGTTCATAATAGCTCCAATCTAAAAATAATTTAAATGCTAATCAGTAATGGAGCAGATAAATGTGTTATAGTCATACAATGGAATTTTAAACAGCAATAATAATGAACGAATTATAATCCACGTGTAGGAACTTGGATGAACTTCATATATTTATACTACCTAATATTATTACATAATACATTTATATTACATACGAAATGTAATGTCGAACAAAAGAAGCCAAGCGTAAAAGAGTAGATATTGTGTGATTCTATTTATATAAAATTCAAGTATAGGTAATATTAATCTATGGCTATCGAAGACAAAATAATGGTTATCTTTGGGAGAAGTTGATATTGCGTAGACAAGAATTGGGCTTCTGGAATGCTGGTAATGTTCTATTTCCTTATCAGATTTGAGCTCTAGTTAAATGAATATGCTCATTTTTAAAAATTCATCCGGTCGTATACTTTGATTTCTGTACTTTTCAGAATGTATATTATACTTTTAATACCACACAACATACCACTATAGCAGTTGATTTATCAAAGATTAGAATACCAAATGACCAAGTGTTAGAATACAAAATGACTACAATGTTCATAAACTGCTGATAGGAATTTAGCTTGTAAAACCATATTGTAAGTCAATTCAGCATTAGATAGAAAATTTGAAGATACACAGATATCCTATGACCCAACAATTCCTTCATATACTTACACCCTAGGAAAGTATGTATATACCAAGGTACTTGTGAAAACATTTTCAGAACAGCTCTTTCATCCTAGAAACAACCAGTGTCTGAACTAAAACAGCAAAGGTGAGCCTAACAAATATAATATTGTGTAAGAAATACAAGACTCAAAACAACATTATACTGTACAATTTCATTTATATAAATTTAAAAAGGCAAAACTAAACTATATTGTTTAGGGATAAGTACATATGTGGTAAAAAAAAGAAATACTTTTTAAAAAAAAAGTCAACAAGAAAATAATGATCACTCAAGTTAGAATAAGGGTTACCTAAAGAGGTGAGGACAGCAAGTTTATTCTGGGGAAAGGATTAGTGGGAGCTTTTGGAGTGCTGAAGCGAGTTTTTGATATGTAGAGAGGTTCCCTTTATAATTACTTCTTAAACTATACATCTATATTTTAAATATTTTTCTCTATGTATGTAATTTCAGGAATTCAAGAAAACCAAACAATATAAGAGCCATACATAATTTTTAGACAAAACATAAGATACAAAATAGTAAATGCTATAGGATTCCAATCTTGAAAATAATGCAGATTGTATGTACAGAGGAAATTTACTAAAAGGAATTAGATCAAAATATTGACCATAATTATTTCTGGTGGTAGGAATTTATTCTTGCTCTTTGTAACTTCCTATTTTCCAAATTCTTTAACATAATAGTGTTTTTTGTATGTGTGTTTAAAAAGAAGCAAGTTACTTAGTACACTGGGGAAACTGATCTATTTTCTAAATTAATATGTGAACATTAAGTAGAAGGAAGTCAGGGAGCCTACTGGAACCAGTGTGTCCATCCCGGGGCTTTCTATCATTTTCTTGAATAGAAATTAGTAAG